TCCCAGTGCTCCCAGTTGTCCCAGTGCTCCCAGTGCTCCCAGTGCTCCCAGTGCTCCCAGTGTCTGAGTTTCCTCGTTGCTGTGCTGCCTGAACTTCTTGTTCATCATTAAAACCATCTCATTTTCTCTACTACCTGAGTTCACTGAACCTGAATCCTCACCACCTCATTTCATGACATAAACCACATTAAATTGTTTAATTTTCCTGTTCAGTTTATTTTTGCCGTTGCCAGATTCTGTCTTAATGGAGTAACGGAGGAGTCAAAGTACAGAAACTGCAGAGAGGCGCTGAACTACGACTCTGCTTCCCTGAGCTGTCAGGTTTTGGAGGAGAAGTTTGTTGTCTTCCTGAAGCAGAGCTACTCCATCCACAGTGGACGGATGCCGTCTTTCAGGTTTTTTCCAAAATGTGCCAATTATCTGTTTCCTGTTTTTAGGACGGCGCCTCGACAAGCAGCGGCTGGATGACAGCAAACTGTTAAACACGTCACATCAGGCAGGATCAGAGAAAACTACAGAGTCCAACATTATTTTGGCAAAGTTTCACACTGAAGCAATGCCAGCGTTAGTGACTGATTGGTTTAATCATGTCAGTTTTCCTGAACTTCCCTAACAGCAGTTTGATGCCGGGTCGGATGTGAAGCTGCTCATTCTGGTCCTGGTAAACATTTGACCATCGTCGTGTTTCTCATTCCATGTTTCTGACTGGACCTGACGACTCCCAGCGGGTCTGCAGGATTACGCCTCCTGCAAACCGTCGCCCTTCAACCCGGCGGCACAGCACCTGGTGAAGTCTGGTTGGCTCCCTGCTGCTAAGGGGCCTCACCAATCCACTGGCTTTTCACCAGGCACAGCTGAGCCCATCGGCCCCAAAGCAAGAAAAACACATGGAGGCAGAGAAGCTAAACATCTGACAGACAGCGAGAGAGAGGACAGACAGTTTCACTCCTTCCTAACTAACTAAGCTACTGCTAACTAAAACATGTGAAACACAAAGTGAATAAAACACAGAAGATGTGTTTTAGCATGCTTATGTTAGAATAACTCATAAACACTGTGGGATGTTTGTTTTCAAAGCAGCTCTGCTGTTTGGTGGAAACATCGACGTCATCGGCGTAGAGTTTGATTTTCTCACTGACAAAAACTGAAGAATCAGACGACAAACAGATGAACCTGGTGGATCATCAATAACCTTTACTGATTCTTTACATACAATTCACATTAATAACATGCATGTTGATGTTGGAAACATGGTTTTATTATTGTGTTAATTTCATTACATTCATGTCAGTTAAAAGTTATAAAAAGTGAGAAACATGAGAAAGAAATGTTCGAGTTTTTTCAAATACAGAATGAATAAATCTGTAGAATCTACAACACTGTAAAAAGTGAAAAGCAAAGAAATCATTATAATAAAATGCAGCAGAATAAATCAAAAGTACATTCCACAGTTTGTCCTGAACAACGTTTCTTAAAGCTGATGAATGTGACGAACTGCTGAGATGTGATGTGAGCAGCAGCAGAGGGTTCAGCTGGGGGCCGGTCCCTTGGTCCTGAGGACCATCAGCAGAGAGAGTCCACAGCAGTACACCAGACTCTTCACTATCAGCACTGAGTAGAGCAGGCAGAGCAGCTTCACCCTGCAGCGAGGCTGGAAGGACACTGGGAGCTTCACTGGGAGCTTCACTGGGAGCTGAGGACGGACAGACGCTGCAGCTGGTGGCGGCGCAGGAGCTGCTGGCGGATCAGTTGCTGCTCCAGACTTTGTTGGAGCTGGAGGTTCTGGAAGTTCTGGAACAAAAACAATCCAACATTTCAGTCACACTGAAATGTTGGATGAAAGCTGCATTTCTCCTGAACTTCTGCTTTTCGTACCTTTGAACCGCGTTTGGTTCGTCACCTTGCCGCCCTCATGCTGAACTTCACAGATGTAATCATAATTGTAGAGCGTCTCGTTTTTAACCAGCCTGATGATGGCAGAACTTTTCAACCCGCTGATCTCCTGCTGTTTCTCCTCAGCAGGCGCCGGCTCCTCCTTGCTGCCCTTCTGTCTTTTCCAGGAGATCTGGACCGGAGGAGGATACATGCCTGAGGCCAGACACATCAGAGCCGTGTTTCCCTCCACACGGTCTTTAGTTTTCACCGGACACACAGTCACCTCGGGCGGCACCACTTTTCTACCTGAACACAGCAGAAACAAACAGAAAGAGAAATATTTCAGGTCATCAACACATTTTAATGTCAGGAAACGATAAACTGAGTGAATAAGAGACACAGTTTTAAACTGATTTCATTTATTAACTGTTTATTAGTTCACTAAAAGACCCGACCCATCCAGGAGGTCCTAGAAGAATCCAGAACCAGACTTTACTGCCTTGGTTAAGGTCAGAGGTCACGATTCCAGAATAAGGAGAGGCTGACACCAAACAACACAAAGACCCGTCTGACATTTATGATCCCTGAAACATTCTGCAGACTGATGAGTCGGGACTGGACCTTTCAGAACCTGAACGTCCCGTTACATCTGGTGTAAAACTGACAGCGGGTCAGAACCAGAACATCACATTACAGTCAAACACGGAGGTGGCAGAGTGATGCTGTGGGACTGATGTGCTGCTGAGGGACCTGGAGAACCTGCTGTACCTGGTAGAACAACGATCCAAAGAACTCCAGCAAGTTCAGCTCTGAATGGAAATGAAACGAAGTAAAATGTAGGTACGGCCTAGTCAAAGCCTGGACTCTACCATCACCTTCAGCTGCTCATTCCTACTGGTAACCTGCCCTCTGTGTCTGAATGAAATCAGTTCAGCAAAGCAGAGGGTCAGAGTTCCTCCACTGGGATTTACAGAGTCTTTACTGGTTCTGATGGTTGAACCAGAAAACGGTTTAAAGGCTTTTATTCTGAAAAACTAACATCATTTAAAACTGTTTCTGTTTTTTTGTCTCAATAAATTCATTTGATGATCAAAATAAATTGATCATTTGTCATTTTTCTGAACCCAGATTATAATTTTTTACTCGTTAATCCAGAACAAAGTTCCCAGCAGAACCTGGACTCGGCTCCACAGAAACATCTTAATCCGTTTAATCCATCGTTACAGCTGGAGCCGATCTGAATGCCGATCAATATCTGATCAATATATCATTACATTAAATGGAAGGCTCTCTATTTTATACAAATTAATACTTTCTTTGTTTTCCAGATTGTTTTTCCATTTTCTTTACTTTTGCATAAAGAAAGTATTTTTTGTTTCGCTCTCAGGATTTATTATATTTTATCCCCAAAACAAACAGATGCAAAAATGTTGTTTGAATATTTAAGTATTAAAATAATCAAACAACTTTTTTGCAGCAGGATCAGAAGCTGAAATTGGTTCATTTTATATATTATTTTATATATTTTAGATTAAAGAAAGTAAAGTTGGTGTAAATCCTGAACATATTACAGTTCAGAGCGACTTAAAGTTTACAGATATTATCCTCCAATATTTGTAGGAATAAGAAAATGTTTTACAAAAATGTTCAAAGACTTTTGAATGTTTTCCATAAATTATTTTCATGATGAATTTTTTACCAATGAATGAAAAAATTTACATATAAACCCAAAATCAGCAGAATAAATATTCTTACCTGTTACAAACAGTTTGGTTCCAGAACCAAAGATCCATTCATACCACAGTGAGACAGACTGATACAAAAACCTGTCGGCTGATTTCTGGTTTTATTATCTTCAGTTTTTCTCCATCAGCTTCATGTAACTCTGAGTTTTATCAGTTATGTATAAAAATATTTTACAGTAATTAGATTTTTATCAACTATAGTATCAGATATTAGAGAATTAGAGTCACTCACTGTTTTAGACATTATTCTCTAATATGAATAAAGAGAAAATACTACATTATTTTCTAATGTTCTAGTATTTTTGAACAGGTTTTTCATTAACTACTGATATTTTCATAATTTATTCTCCAATAATGATAAAAACGGTTCTTACCCGTTACAAACAGTTTGGTTCCAGAACCAAAGATCGGGTAGCCATAGCTACGGCCATCACTCCTCCTCACAGTGAGACAAACTGATACAAAAACCTGTCGGCTGATTTCTGGTTTCATCTCCAGTTTTTCTCTGTTTCATGTAACTCTGAGTTTTAGCAGTTAGTAAATCTTTAGAAATATTTTACAGTAATTACATATTTATCAACATTATCAGATATTGCAGTTAGACTCACTCAGAGTTTTCACAAGTTCTTATCCAATATTTAACAGTTCATTAAATAAAGTTGGTCAGATTTTTTTCTAACATGTTTTTCATGAATTATTGACATTTTTATGGTAATTTTCTTCTAGAAAGGACAGAATTTATGAGAGTTTGGGCCTGGAGTCAGTTTTGCTCCACTGAGGAAAAATGATTTTATTCATTCAAATCACAGTTTATTAATAGACACCAACAGGTTTTATTACATCAGCAGGTTTGAACTAATTTAATGTTTTTAACTCCATTTTGTTTCCAAAGAAATAAACAATGACTTCATCATTTTCAAATGTTTAGATGTTGTTTATATTCACTAAATTCCTGAATATTAAAACTCACATGATTT